ATTTTAAATCCAAAAGACTTTTGCGACTAATTGTGGCGTTTATGTGAACAAAGATGTATTGAATGCCAAACTCAGCCAAATGTCATCTGAAGAGGGATTGACTCCGAGACAAGCCATACAAACCAAAGAGTTTGCATTACTGTCCACAAAGATAATGCTCACAGAATTGGTCTTCTTTTACCTCTTATTCGTCTACAAAGTAAGACATGAATTATTGACACAATTATACCATATATTCCCGTATTTGCAACAAATCTATACATTATTCCCACAATTGATCGAAAAGTTGTAAAAAAGTAGAAAAGTTTTTGCAATTCATGTGAGAAATGTTTGAATGTTTGCTATAATATTCCGAAACGATCCCTTTATTAGCACTCAATTCATGTGACAGTCATTGAATTGTTTGCCACTTCGTGACCACTAATTGAGACAATCGGTGACACTCGGACACTAATGCCATGTCAAACAGCGGTTCCCAAGTGTTGGACAATTCATTTCATTACAATTTTGAGCCCTTCTTCACAATCCAACCCAATGTTGAGACCAGAAGACAACAACTGAAGGCTTGGCGTCAATTGATTGTCGATTATTATGAGTCCACGAATGAGCACATCCTGGATGTGAACCAAGCCATCAATGATCCGCTCTTTAAGAACAATAAGATTAGTCGACAATTGTCTTTGGATTCAATTCGAGTCATTCTCAATGATCTTCATTCAAATGGTGTCATTGAATGGATGGATAAAAAACAGGATAAATGTTATGTCTATTGGAAGAGACCGGAAGAATGGGCTCAACTGATCCACAAATGGGTTGAAGACAAAGCTCTGAACAGTACTGTCTGTACTTTCTATGAGATAGTGTCGGGCGATGACACCGTCGGCTATCCCTTCCATGGACTCAATGAAGAGATTTTGATAAAAGCGTTAAAGTGTTTAGAAAGCGATGGAAAGGCTGTTCTCATGAACTTCGACAACAACTCTGGCGTCAAATTTCTTTGAATTTGTGGTCACTTTTGAAAACTTTTGAAAAAATAATTTATTTTGAAAACTAATTCATTAATAGATTACTTGTATATATATATAATTCTAATAAATATCAATGAATTTATTATACAATAACAATGTTATGAATGGATAGCCGTTTGGACAGACGTTCATATCGGATGACTTCTTCCTGTCGATGGTGGGGGCGTCGGCTGCCGTTTGCAACACATTGTGTCGTATACTTGTGGGTCATCTCAAAGATCTGACCACTTATAAAGTGAGTCCATTGAGGCATATGTGATGAGTAGACATGACCCGTGTGTTTGGCCAACAGATATGTTGTCTACCATTGAGTTGTTTGGCCACAATTCTGGTGGTGAGTCTGCCGCTGACGCCTTATACCCACCGTATGGTGTATGCCGTGTGTGTGGTGTCTGCGGTGGGAATCGTGGGCTCGCAGTACGCGCTCATGCCGTCCGCCATCACCGAAGCATTTGGTGAGCGCTTCGCCGCCATTATCATAGGATTAGTGTATATGTCGACTGTAAGTCATGCAGTCATGAATTGCCATCAAATTGATTCATTTGTATCGTTCAGGTGATAGCAGACATCGCCGGAGCATTTGCTTCTCAACATTTGACTGATACTCTTGGCTGGTCTGGTATGATAGGTATGGTGGGTATCTGTGCCTTTATCGGTGAGTCCAAACTCTCACAATTATCCTATCATAGTATCGCTGCTTTCATATCTAATTTAATTTCAGATTTTTTAATTACATTCCTTTTGCCTAATAATCAACACTTGAAACTGAAGAAAAGGTATTGTATTCTTAAAATGGTTTTTAATGTTTGTTTTAAATGATGAATCAATTGCTAGACTCGTGAATCGGGATATAAAATCAATGAAAACCAAAACTTGTGATGAGAAGCCCTGTGCGATAGGAGTTTATACTTGCAATACAAACACAACGGCCAATACAATGACCACTCGGAGGACAAGTATTCCCAAACCCTCTCTATTCAGAACTTGTGATTATATAACAGAAGCCACGCGTCTGTAAATCATTTATTATTTAATTAAATGAATTCTTAAATGATTTAAATCTTCATTAAATGATTGAACTTTTATTTGAATTCAAATAATCTTAAAGTCTTACGAACAAAATAAATCAATAAAATAGAAATCATTTCTACCGTAATACAAAATATCACTTAAAACAGCATTAAATCAACAAAACTTCAAATATAATACATATGTAGACAATTATTGGCAGTAATCTATGATAAAAATTCTCAAAACCATAATTACTTGTAATAAAAATTGTATTTCGACGGAAGATTCAGTTTTTGTACAACTTTTGTGTGTCTTATCTTTGATTTGTTGCGAATAATTGTATTTATTTATTACCGGTTTATCCAAATATAAGTTTTATTTATTTATTTTATTAATAAATGAGCATAAGATTAGAAATATTTGCTAAAATAGATTATCATATAATTATGGCTATAGTTTGGATATGACTGTCCATCAAATGATTGATTGTTTATTCCAATTCTAGTCTACATTCAGTATTACCGTACATTCAATCTCTAATTATTGCTTACAAATGCTTTACTCTGTTATACGTTAAATACAACTCAAATCTATTCATTGATTATTACCGTAATTAAGTTACACTACACTTAAGCTATCATTCATTCCTAAACACTTCTATTCATTGTCTGAATCTTCATAGTCGTCGTCGATATCCATAACAATGGACTCGTATTTAGAATTACTACAAATGGGATAAAGACAAGTGGGTCTTGTCTTCAGGTATATCTTAGTCTCAAGAGATCTCGTACTCGAAGCACATGTCTTGAAGTTATGTATTCGTATGAATCGGTCTAAACTACAGCTCACTATTTTGAACGCATAGTGACTCTGAGGGACGTACTGAATGTCACGAATAGCTCCACCGCCGAAGCCCTTAAAGACACCCAAATAGCGGTACGTCTGAGTACTGAACCTGAGGTCCAGAGCCATCATTCGACCGATGGTTGTGCCGAGGATGAGGTTTTGCGTGGGCTTTGCGATGGTGTGCGGAACAGATGTCGACCGAATCGATGTAAACGACGGCGGATTCGAGTCGTTGTTAAATGTCTGGTCTTTGAGGTTGATATTCATGACAGGCTTTCGTTGTTTGCATTTAATGTCATATATGCGCACAACTGAGTCCGACCGCGAGCACGTGGCCACCCATGAGGGACAGGCGTTGCTCTTGGAGTTGCCGCCGACCCACTCGACGCCTGAGACCCACGTCTGCTGCTTGAGTCCCAACCAGTCGTTTGAGAGACCTTTCGCCGAATATATCGATTGCTTTGTATTCAAATCAAACACTTTTAAGTCGACATTCTTTCCAGCGATGGCCACCATCTGATCGCATACTCTAAAGGAAGTCAAACTATTGTTGGAAGTGTTGTAATTGGGAGCGAAGATCGGTGTACACGATGTGGTGATCGAAGACTCGCTGTTCACAAACTTTGATGGCTTTGGATATGATTTGCGCAAAGACTTGGGGGACAACACGTCTTTGCCATTAGAGCACTGCACAGACTTCGAGACCTTATGTTTGGTATTGTTCTGAGCGCCGGATGTGCTGTCGATGAGGTCGAGACCCAAGAGTTTGACGGCTTTCTTCTTATTGTCGTTCAATTTAATCAAATCCTTCTCAATGTTCTTCACGAGAACGGATCCGTTCTCATAGCAGACAACGATATGGTTCTCATCGATAGGTTGAGCGCCCGTTAGGAACGACTCGTTGGACACTCCGACCCGAAGCGGTTCCAAGTGATTGGAAACACTGTTATAAAGTGATAGTGTATTGCATTTGTTTGCAATCAAGTAATCAATGGATGAGTTGTGAAGACAACAAATGGATGCAACACTTCTGGAGGGATGGATGCCATCGATGGGCTCGTTATGAATGGCAATCACTTTGTGTTTGGAGATGAGATCTATTCTCTTGAGTTGTCCCAACTCGTCACCGATGAGCACACCTGTCAGGTGACTCGTCTGCGGCGATGGGAGTCGTGTCGGTGACTCTTCGTCTGAGTCCATATCTGGTGATGGATTCAATGGATGGTAAGTGTGGTGATAGTGCTCTGCAAACGGCGTGTCTTTCACTGCAAATTGCGTTTACATTGAGTTCACGTGTTTTGCCCACAGATGTCATGCTATCTATTGAATGCATTTCAAACACCAATCGATTCTTGCATTGCATTCAAAGTTTGAATTTCAAACACGAATCCAGAATTTGTTTCATTCAATGAATATATCGCCGATTCTTTCATTGATAGATACATTTACCTATCACTTCAAACTTTGATTATACAGATTCTGTACTTCACAAACAATAATTAATAGTTATGTACATATTTATGAACAACTATTTAATTAGAAACAATATTCTCGAGATTAATAAGTTTTTAAAAGTCAACAAAGTTTATAGAAAATAGAGAATCGGTAGTGAAAGAGGATGGCAGTGAACGACAGAACTATCAGATTAGGCATTTTGAAGGCCTATCCCATTGATCACATCGGAGACGATAGTGAGAAGAGGGTGGTTGAGGCTAAACACAGCGGCAAAATAGTGTTACCTCACAGTATATTCAGACGGGTACATTTCATAAACCAGTCGCCAATGATTTTCAAGTGACTCTCATTTAACATACCATAAGACAACGACACTTAAGTTATTATTTTATTTTATTATCAGATTAATTAGCAATGATTTGAGTGTATTCTGTGGTGTCTTTTGCTTCACTGGCGAAGAGAAGAAAGTATTGGTTCCGCAGTGGATAATGAAAGAACTGAACCTCGAGTCAGGGAATGACATCTGGATCGAGATATTGACGAGACCTGTACCCAAAGGGTCGTTCGCCAAATTCCAACCGCTCACTCAATCCTTCTTAGAGATAACTGATCCCAAAA